GTGCTAGGGAATCATGGGAATTGTATTTTTTTCTGAGACATTGAGCCTTCTCTGTCAGAGAACTCTGGTGCCACAATAAAATACAGTTCCCATGATTCCCTAGCACTAACCCTAACCCTAAAAGTGGACTCAATTTGCACTATTTCTGGCAGTCTGCAACCCCCCTGATTGAAAGAACTTGGTAGCATGAGTTTTTGTAAACTTCAGTCTACTACCTGCATCTGAGGAAGTAGGCTGAAGTCTACAAAAGTTCATACTACCAACTTCTTTCTTCTCAAAGGTGCAACAAGATCCTTTTGCATGCTGGTTTTCCAGACAAACGCAGCTGTGTATTTGAATTTCATGCCATAGCAAGGATTTCCTCCTTGTTCTGGTATAACCCGCTCACTGTGAAACCTCATTTGACCTTATCTTCAGGAACATCAGCAGGCATTGTGGTAGGATTCCTTTCATTTCTCACATGTGTTTCTTTTCTTTTTTTTAAGGAGAATAGTCTGGGTTTCTTCACTGAGGATTCTAAGATTAAGTGTGGGTGGAATAATGAAATGAGCAGTTAATTGAAATCCAGATATCTCATGTAACTGTCTGTACAATAGATGCCTAGATGGATCACAAAGAGGAGGGCAGGAGTTAGGAACAGTACTTGGAAAAGTTACTTTCTTGGATAAAAATAATGTAGCCCACTTGATTGCACTACAGCACACTAGATGGGAAATTCTAAGTTCTTCAAAGAGAAGGGTTAACTCCTAACCTCTCCCTCTCCTTTGGGTATAGGAGGAAATTACAGCTCTTCCAAACTAAGTGTCAGTTGGCTTGGGATAATGACAGGCAAACACACAGTGAGAATTCAAGAGGGACAGATAAAGGAAGGGAGGGAGAAATGAAGGAATTGGCTTTTCTTCAGCTTGCAGAGATGGGGCAGCTGTTTGCTCTCCTCCATGACACATAATTCTGAGCTATTGGCTATAGCAACGCACCCCTTTCTTTTGGTGCTGCTGCCAAGCTATTTCGCCCTGCCACCAAAAATCCCAGCGCTCATCCCCTGTTTGCAAAATACCAGAAAAACATTACCTGTCTGCCTGGCTCACTTGCTCTGTATCTGCCCTGGGAGGGGGGAGTTTTGTAAAATATACACCCTCAAGTCGCCTCCCTCTTTATTGTGTTCAAAAAAGCCATCACAACAGTAACTTTGTGGATGGGATGGAGATAAACGAGAGCCAGCGTGGCATAGTGGTTTGACTATGACCCTAGAGATCAGGGTTCAATTCCCTGCTTGAGCATAAAAACCCACCGGGTGACCCTAGGCAAGTCACTCTCTCTCAGCCTCAGAGGATGGCCAT